GAGGGAGAGAATGTTAAATTTACGCCGATGCACGGCGGGAGTGCAATACATCGATTTACGAAAATATATGTATGACTATGTCATCGTACGTCAGCGTGATACGTGTACTGCGTGGAGCTGAGTGTGGCACTGATCACAAATTGGTGCGGACCAAACTGTACATATATATATATATATATATATATATATATATATATATATATATATATTTGGTGCCCCATGCTGAAGCTGATGTTGCATTCATGATGCTCCTTCACCGCAGTTGGGCTAAACCAACTTACACTTACACTAAGTCTTTTTAAGCTGGATGAATTACATTCCACTTTATTTGGTTTGTTCGGCCTGCCTGGTTAATCTTCTTTTAACTTGCACACGTTGCTTACGCCAATAGCGCATATCTTCCTTAACGTTATCGCGTTTGCGGCATTTTTGAATAAGTTGTGGACATTTTGTACTTATCGTGCATTCGTTGCTAACCCACTTACTTTATACGCTAATTTACTGAAGAGTTATGTAGGCATATCTATATGCATCACTCGCTTTATTTCATTTGATATTGTCGTTTCAAGTGATTGGCTGTTGCTTGATATCCCGGTGTGGCTGCGCTTGATGTGCATGTTGACAAGGTGCCTACCTTGTCCATACTGGCTCCAGGAGACAGTTGGTCGTTGCTGGAGGGGACAGGGTGCACGGTCGTTGTGGCCGTGTTAGGATCAAAGAGTGGTTCCATGCACTCAGTGTGGAGCGGACTACGGTCCAGCCACCGCCTTGTGTGCGCTTGATTCCCCAAATACTGCGTGCTTGTAATTGACTGTGAAGGAGTGTGGGCCGGCTCCGTTGATGAAACGTGGCTCCCATCCACATGCCTCCCGGTCTTATTCATTAGGGTTTACACTGGATAGGGGGTGTGTGGTTGGAGCTGTGGGTGGTTCAGCGCAAGCCACCTATGGTGTTCAATGTGCGCTTCCTCGGCTCGTATGCCGGCATCCTTTGGTCACCATCATACATCATCATACACGTTAGCTAGAGGTGGGGAACACAGCTAATGTGCCGCAATACACAGAAAAAAAGGAGAAAAAAATGCAACTGGTGCAAGCTGGCTGAGCTACCGGTAACGGATGGGCATCGATCCGGAAAGCTACCAGCCGGCTACTGTGCATCAAAAAAAATTGCTATGCGAAATTATATAAGGCTAAATGATAAGATCGTGGTTGGAGGGGGAGGCTAAGAGGGATGGGGTGGGACAAAGAAACTCACAGCACGAACGCCACTGAGGTCGGCTCCTTGCCATATCAGCAAGTGTGTCCAACCAAACGTGTTCATCCTCTTTCGGACCCCAACCAGGGAGCCGAGACGTTACAACCAAGGCCAGCTCAAAAGTGAGGGCCTTCATTCCAGGGAGCGGGGCGATCACTGGTCGGCGAGAAATCTAAATATTCCGACCGATTAAATTGCCTTTCAAAGTGCTCAGCCCAACGCTCCAAACGTTTTGACAAATTGTGGATAGGCTGTTCACTCTCGTCACGTATAGTTTCACTAACACCAGGTCTCCTGTTGCCCGTTTCTCGTATCAGACGGAATAACTTACGAAGGTTGCCAAGGGCAGCGGCCCCTTCCAGATCTGATGCACGATGAGACCAGCAGGATTCGCGGTCTCTCTTCAGGCTAGCACGGAGTCTTGCCCGGAGCTCTTTGCGAGCTTCATTGTGTTCCTTTCCAGCCGGAATATGCCGGCGAGCATCGATAAGTTCTAGAGACCTCGAAGAGACCCAATATCCATGTTAGCTATTAGACATACAACATGAGGATTTGCCTGCTGCTAGTAAGTTCGGGTGAACAGGTGACCAGTGACCATCAATTGTATCCAATGAGCGCTTACTCAGCTCGCATGTCAGCGTACTTCGATACGTATTCAGAACAGCTGGCTATGTCAGTTGGCTGGTGTCAACGCGCGCACAGCGTCGTCTTGGGCGTCCGCCAAAACGCGTCCGCATGTCAGCACATACAAGTACATGATCGGTGTCAACACCTGTGCTCCAAATCGAGCGACAGTTCTGGACGCAGCCTTTCCATCGGTAACTTATCGCAATGTGATCGATTTGCGTCCTAGGCTGGTGGGCGCCAAGTCACCCTCCGGCGGGTGCTATGTCGGAAATTAGTGCTCGCAAGAAATAAGCGAGCATCCTCACACAAATGAAGTAACCGCCCACCGTTATCATTACGGGAGCCTGCACCATGTTGGCCGCCCAGATGCAGCTCATCTGTGGATAATTTTCCAACTTGAGCGTTCAGATCCCCAGCCAGCACAACAGTGTCCGAGCTTCTTCTGTGGCGAAGGAGCTGGGTCAGTTGACGATAGAAGTCGTCTTTTACCGAGTCATCGCTAGTTTGTCGGTGCATAGGCAGCGATAACGAATAGACACCTGTAGGTCCCGCGTGACTTCCAAGCTTTGAACGAGCCAGCCAATCGGACCGCACACATCCGGTTACTGATTGGAATCCAATCAACCAGAGTAGTTTCAGCCCGGGGACTCAGGGCAATACCAACACCGGCTTGGCCAATGCTAGAAGCTGCATCGTCACCGGATGAGCGCAATGTGAAAGTGCTGCTAGTGTCACCTGAAGGGGATCGCAGAGTGAGTACAGAGCTCGAGTCTTGCAGGCGGGTCTCCGATAAGCAGCAGATATCGATCGAGAGGGTCTCTAATGTTCGGGCAAGTGCTGCCTGTTGACCGATCTGAAGCAATGTGCGAACATTGAAGCCTGCCAATCTAAAGGAGGATCGAGGGCTTCAAATGGAAGCCGATGAACTGGAATGGGCCGCTTGCTTGGACATGCGCCTGTTGAAAGGGCAGGAATGACGCTCCGCGTTCGCATGTGAGTTGAAACTAAAAGACAAACGACTATTGAAGCAAGGTGGGGGAGGGCCGAGAATTGGGGGGATGAAAACTGAGGGGATAAAAGTGAAGCTGGAACGGGACGATAAGGGTGAAAAAGCGCAAGAGGGGGAAGAAGAAGACGGGAAGGCTTGAGCAGTAGCATCCAAACCCCTATCCACCCTGCTCGATGCAGCAGATAGGGCACCGTTGATTATACTCTGCGGTGGCCAGAGCACCAGAAATTTGTTTGAAGTGAAATTCATTGTATTGCGTGGGCAGAATACTGTCAGGTTGCCCAGGCCTAGACAGGAGAACGATTAGGGTTCTCAACCAAAGCCTTTGGTTCAAAAACCTGGTCGCAATGCAGCGGGTTTGGCACTGGACTACAAGGAGTCCGTTTTAAGAAATAAGGAGCCACCCTCATTCCAACCCCCAACCTGGAGGACCAGGAGGCTGAGTTTGTCTGGCCTCTAACCATTGACCAATCTGGTATGAGTGACTCTGAAGGTGCAAAAATGCACCACCCAGTATAGCTCAATGGATCACTGAGGCATACAAACCATCGCACCACGGTAAGGTCCAGCCTCATTGCGATGGATCCTTTGGTACGCATTTAGAAGGTAGACTCTGATCACGCACTCGTTTGTACGGATCTTCGAGTTAGCTTCGATGGACGCATGCGGTAACAACATAGACAATGGCCAATTTGCGAACCTAAGTGTTCTAAATGCGTTCTAGATCCTTTGGTACACATTTAGAACACTTAGGTTCGCAAATTGGCCATTGTCTAGGTTGCTGCCGCATGCGTCCATCGAAGCGAACTCGAAGATCGGTAAAAACGAGTGCGTGATCAGAGTCTACCTTCACGCCTTAGATCGAACGGCAGTTTTTAACACATTCTATCCAACAAAACTGATCGCGATGTGATCAATTGGCGTCCAACGCTGGTAAAAGCCATATCACCCTCCGGCGGGTGCTGTGTCGGAAGTTAGTGCTAGCGAGAAACAGTCGAGCATCTTCGCACAACCGTCACCCACCGTCATCGTTACGGTACGCTACATCTTGTGGACTGCCCGGACAATGCTCCACAGTGGATAGTTTTCCAAGTTGGGGGTTCAGATCACCAACTAGCACTACAGTATCCATACTTTGTGGTGATGAATGAATTCGTTCAGTTCGTGATAGGAGCCATCTTCCACCGAGTCAGTGCTACGATTTGTGGGCGATTACGCCGCAATAACAAAGATACACCGCCTGTTCCTGCACGACATCGAAGCTTTGAACGAGGCAGCCAAACTAACAGTGCACATCCGGCTGTTCAATGGGATCTAATCGATAAGGGTAGATGCAGCCCATGGATTCACAGCAATGCACACACCAGCTTAACCGGCATTTGAAGCTGAGTCATCTCCAGACGAAGACGACGAGAAAATACTGAGTCGCTTCTGGGGGATCGCAGAGTATTCACATAACTCGAATATTGTAAGCGGGTTCCTGATAAACAGAAAATGTCGATCGATAATGTCGCCAGTATTTGGGCAAGTGCTACCTGTTGGCCACTCTGTAACAAAGTGCGAACGTTGAAGCATGCCAGCCTTAAGAAGGATCGAGGGCTCCAAAGGGAAATGAATGAACAGACGTTGTCCGTTTGGTTGGACATGGACTTGTCGACTAGACCAGACTGACGTGCTGCAGTTGTGTGTGAGTCGAAGTTAGAAGATGGAGAAGGGCCGAGAAATGGAAGGTTGGAAATATGGAGGATAAAACTGAAGTTGGAAAGGAACGATGAGGATAAAAAAGTGCAATAGGGGAAATAAGAAGAAGGGAAGGTTCGAGCAGCAGCATCCAAACCCCTGGCCACTCTGGTCGATGCAGCAGATAGGGCGCCGTTGATCATCCTCTGCGACGGCCAGAACATTAAAAGATTGTTTGAACGGAAAATCAATGCGTGGACAAGATATTATCGATGGGTGACGAAGTGACTGTCAAATATCAATGTATCGGCGATCTTGGTTATGGCGATGACAGGAAGAAGTAAAGTAAGCAGCGTCTCAATATTGGTGTGCATCCTTCAAAACAATGAAAGCATGTTTTAAACCGGAAAGTTGGAAAATAACTTACCTGTAAGGTATATAGTGCATTAGGATTCTTTTCCACGACGTAAATCCGCACACGACACCTGGCTCGCTCAGCAGCGTTGAGTGTTGCATGAACCAGCGGACCTCTGCCGGCACCAAGCACCATGACTACTAGAAGGGCCTCGGCATCCACCGCCTCTGAAGCATCGGAACGGTGACTATCCTCCGGTGCGATCAAAGTGGAGTCTACGTCGCCAGAGCACTTGAGGAGTTTGCTTCGACCAGAACGGTGCAGGAGAGCTTGGTGGATGGCCTAGGGGAAAATATGGAGGCACAGAGAGGTGATGAGTGAGCGGTTTTCGGCACAAGTCATGTGGCAAAAAAACAGAAAAAGTCTTGAATTTAGGTTGAATCTACAGCACATTTCTGATTGCTTTACTAAGGGGGACGCAGCTGGAAAACGGTCAGTAACATCGGATCACGATGACAAAAATGATCACGTGAAGCCAGCAATCAGTTGATACTTTCCGAAAAATAGACTTGTTGGGAGTCCGCATTTGAAATCTCCGTCCGTGTGAATGGATTGCGATACGCAACCCCAATTTGGACAGCGAGTTACTTGGAAGTGAACCCAGATCAGCTAAACTAGTGGTAACGAATACGAAACGTTAGGTAGAAAAGAACAGCAAAAGGGGCTCACGACAAATGGGAAAGCCACATAGGATAGATCTGCTGGAAACAAGTTCACTACCAACTAGGAAACCTGACAGGTGATAACTGGACGACGAAATGCAATGAATGCACAAACGATGTGCTGACAATTGTCTAAAAAGATGGCAAAAACTGGAGTGGAATTTGAGAACCATTACAGTTCATTTGGTCAACTATGATCGGAGCACCGAAGTGCACTGGATCCAATTGCCATGACTCACATCGCAAAAATAACGATAAATAACAACGGCAATATAACGGGGCTAAAGATAAACAGAATGTAAAAATGGAAACGAGAAGTGCGGTAAAATAATCAGAATGGAACGAAGATTAACAACCAGCTGCAAGAAGCCGAATGCGTGACTGAGCCTTGGTGCGGACCATTCCAAGACCCCCGTCGGCATGCACCAACTTGACCAAGTCTCCCAGTCAATTTCTTCATGCCTATATGCCACGTCATGGATTAGCCACCTCGCAGCTTCACCCAACTTGGTGCAGCCAAGGCGTATAATGCACGCAGAGGAACACGGTCAACGGGCATACTGAGGACATGGCCTAGCCAACGTGGACGATTAAGATTCAACAAGCAGTCGAGTAGGGAACCAGAAGGCTTCGTGCAAAAAGCCAACTAACGGACCTCAGCATTGCTCACCCGGTGAGCAATACTCCGCAAAGGACCGGTGGTCAAACCCGGCCAAGCGTTTAATGTCTTCGCTGCGAACTGGCCAGGTCTCTGATACATGCAGTAAGACCGGCCTTACTGCAGCGTTATAGACCATAACTTTTACTGGCAAGCTGATATCCCGCCGTTTCCATGGATGGTTGAGCCTTTGGAGAGTCACCCGGGCCTTGTTGATACTCGAAGTAACTTCACAGCGATGTGACCACCAGAAGTGGTACAGCTACCAAGGTAAGTGAGACCATCCACCACTTCCAGTGGCTGTTCGGTAGTACCTAAAACCGAAGGTGTGTCGGTCCAGTTCTGCAACAGGATTGTGCACTCTAAAGATGCAAAGCATATGCCGAAGCGTGCGGCGCTACGCACAAGTCTGTGCAGTAGTGTTTACGAAGCCAATGCATCAGACCCAAGGAGAGCTATGTAGTCCGCATTCCCCAGGTTTGTCAGTTGGTCACCTGGTAGAACTCCCTCCCCTCCCCCGGTAAAGGCTGAAAGAGCGGCGTCACTCACGATCATCACTATAACAAAGTTGACAAGGAAAGGAGATATACCCTGTGTCCCAAAAGTAAGTGTATTGAATTTTTATTTAAATGTATATAAGACTCATCCGAAATTACAAGTTATCTCCTTCTAAGTATAACTCTTCGGAAGTTACACAGTGGTTCCAACATTTTTTCCACTGACTGTAGCGGTACTGGAATTCGTTCTCCGAAAGAGTTCTTAGTTCATGTGTTACAATTTTTTTCCCCGATTCCACGATAATGACCTCTCCACTTAGATTTCAACTTAGGGAAGAGGCAGAAATCGTAAAGAGCTAGGTCATGGCTGTAGGAAGGTTGTGCGTGTGTGGGAAGATTTTTATCGCCAAAAACTCCCGAACTGAAAGCACTGTGTAAGCATGCGCGTTATCGTGGTGCAGCACCTAATCGCCTGCAATGTCCCTTCGGGTTCGCTGAACTCGTTATCGAAGTAGTTCCAAGACACCTTTGTTAAAATTCTATGAACTGCATTTTCATCCAAGCCAGTTCCTTCTGCAATCAATCTGACACTCAATCGGCAAACTTTCGCCATCACAGCTCGCACAATTTCCACACTTGTTCGTTTGTTGGCAAAATTAGTCTTACGGAACGAGGTTCGTCTTTATCATTTTTCGACCCATCGTGAAAGCTTTGTGTAATCTAAAAATCATGTCCTCGATAGAGTGACATATTTAGAAGCATCCGTTAAATTTGCAAATGTCTCGGTGGCAGACTTCTTGAATTTCACATAAAAATTTGATAGCGTACCGTTAGTCGACATTCCGCTCCCCCGCAAACATAACGAGATATTAAAACACGACTTTAAACAAACTGCTGTAGCGCTGGAATTACACAGCCGATCGAGTCGAAACAAGTCCAGATATGTAGCCAAGATCTCTATCGATGCGTCGATATCCACCAATGAGATGTTACTTCGTCTAGTAGTATATAGGAGTATCAGTACACTTACTATTGGGGTTATAGTAGTAGGACAAGCTTGGCGACCCCCACATGTCGTGGGGAACTCAGGAGATAGTTTCCCCGTAGACTTTTCGTAAAAAGGCTATATTTCGTGAGGTAAAGGTATGTCGGGCTATATTCAGCCTGACATTTAGATAATAACCAAGTGTCATATATGTTAGAAATTTGTTTATTGCAAATTATTAATGTGAAGAGTGAAACTGAGGACCTGACTGCAGTAAACTGGTCAGGTCATGCCCAAAGGCACGGGTTTTGATGCGCAAAATATCACGTAGGTGAGAATCACTCAGTCTCGTCCTAACACGGTTCTTGTTAAAATTTGAAATGATCCAAATAACTGGGCCAAAAAACTGGACAGTTTATAAGCAAATGCTCGATTGCTTTGGAATCTGTATTTCGCTGATGGTAAAAACTGATGACAGAGCTGTTGGTCCCGATTGGGAAATCCAATGAGCTCCAGTTGCAGGTGGCACGGAGCATTGTCATGGTTCATAAAGTAAGGCGAAGAAAGAAGGCCGATCCTCTTTTTAATTGCTACAAATTTTTGAAAACGCAGGGGAAACCCATCAGCCAGGGATACAATATCTGTGACACACTTTTTCACTTGTTCATTGCTGGTACTTTCCTGAAGACTTGTCATGACTTTCTTTAGTGATGGCAAATGTGTGATATTAGGCTGCGTCTTTGAAAAAGTTGCAGCTTATTCCTAAAGGCTTTGATGTGTGCATACAATTGGCCTAGCACTGCAATTTGACCCTGAAAGCTCATGTTCAGTATGTTCAGGTGCGGTGTAATATGAACAAAAAACCAATATCAGCCAACCAAGCAGGAACTGAAAGTGCTGGTATCGATTGTAACTTCTTTTCCATGAACTGTCCAAGTTCTTTGCTAAAAGAGTAGAAACAATGAAGTGCAGTCTCTCGACTGAGCCATCTTACATCACGGCGATACACACACACACACCCCTGTATTCAACCTGGAGATGGAGTAGAAACTGACGATGAAACAGGGCTTCAGAGCAAAGATATTTGATAGCCTTTATCACTGGCTTCATGACATGATCATACAAAAGATGTCAGGCACAAATAACTGGTTGGTGAATGATGCAACGGAGTTTAATGACTGTCCCTCTCTTTGCTGACTTTGTTGCTAATCCATTGTGCTCGTCAGTCATGGCTAGGGCACCGGCAGTAATAAGTACAGAATATTTTTCACGATAGTTTAGTGATGATGATGATAGTTTAATGATTGCGGAAGAAACAGAAGCAACTAAATCTTTTCCTCCTGTTTGGCACTTAAGACCCTGCAGGTCGAGTAACTCCTCACTCAGACACGTCATCGTTAACCCCATTCAAAATAGAGAACACGGGCAGTGTCAAATGTATCAGCGCTTTCACCATGGGCTATCGAAAAAAGTCAAAGTTTGCTCCTTTTGCTTCTAACTATCCTTTAATATCAGAGGAGGTCTTCAATTCTGCAGAACCAGTGTTGCGCGCCAGGCAAGCAATAGTAAACTGGTGCTTTTTTACAGGACAGACATTTGTCACAAGTTTCAGCATACATTCTTTGTCAGATTCATTTTCAATAAATGGCTTGCAGTGTTTCGCTAGTAGTTTTGCCACATCCTTACTTGCCATTGTCGCATTTTTATTCGACTGACCACTTCTTGCAAACAGCTTTGCTGTGAGGCTATTTCAGCTTCCAGTTGCTTCACTGTCTTAACTCGTTCATCTGTAGTCAACTTGTCATGGTTAGCATTGATTGATTGATTGATCTCAACAGTCTAGTAACTAGACATAGAGCCAAAAAAGCCATGGAAACCAATGGATAAGAGGCAGTCATTGCGTCATAATCGTCGTGGCATGCTAGTTGAAGGTGGGCAACACACTTCAGCTAATATGCCGCAAGAAAATGGAATATTTTGACAAAAATACAGAACAAAACATTTTTAGTTTGTTTGTCACACGCCGATTTTTCTCTTTTTTGTCATTTTCAATATTAGTAAAATTAAACTTGTGAATCAATACAACACTGTACACAATTCTTCCACTGATTCCGGTTGCGGGCCATGTCTTCAAGAGTCCTAAGCCATTGGCACTCCTCATCTTTGGGTCCCCATCCTGGAAGACGTACGGGTCCAACAGCGGCTAGACGCGACGTCAGCGATTTCATGTGCTGCCGCCAAGTGGAAGGCTGACCACCACGCGGTCGCCTCCAGCCAGGTCCTTGACGAGCGAATAGAGCGCGACGCGGTAGACGCTCAGGTGACATGCGTAGGACATGACCGAGCCATCTTAACTGGCGCAACAAAATCAGTTTGTTGAAGGGAATACTTGCATTCCCCAAGACGCGACGTCGAACGTCATTACTGGTAACTCGATGTTGCCACCGAACACGAGCGATCCTCCTTAAGCAACCGTTATCGAACGCAGAAAGACGACGCATGTCTTCCACGCGAATCGGCCAGGACTCGCTCCCATACAACAAAACTGAGCGAACTGATGCGCTGTAAACTCGGCCCTTTAGTGAGAATGAGACGTCGCGACGACGCCACAAGTGCCTCAGATTGACAAATGCTGATCGAGCTTTAGCGATACGAAGAGAAACTTCTTTGTTGATAGTGCCGTCAGCGGAAACACAGCTCCCAAGGTAGACGAAACTATCTACCTGTTCAAGTTATGCACTTTGGAGAGTGAGCACGGGTGCAGGTGAAAGCCAATCCTTGAGCAGTACTTTACACTTCGATGGGGGGAAGCTCATGCCATACTTAGATGCTTCAACCGCCAAACGATCCAGAAGGAGTTGCATACCCTGAGGATCGTCACCAAGTAAGGCGATATCATCAGCATAATCTAAGTCGGTCGCGCGTTCACCCGGTAGAAGCTCTAAGCCAAAATGTTGGAAACCTTCTAGGGCATTCGACAGAACGTCTTCGATTGCGAAGTTGAAGAGGAATGGGGACATAGGGCAGCCGTCGCACACCGCTATTGACAGCAAATTGCGAGGAAAGCTCGCCATAGACCCTCACTCTGCCGCATGTATGAAGGTAAAGTGCTCGTAAGATGGCGGTATATTTCTCTGGCACCCAGTTCTTTAGTAAGCAACGCCATAAAGCATGGTTAGCATGCATCGTTTGATAATGCACCCCGCTAGTGAATTCCTTGAAAACAGCCACTCGCCAAACAAATCAAACCCACACACTTGTTCAGTCATTCAGTGGAAAAATACTCCGGTTTCCACGGCTCCTCGAGGCGGCGCCCGTTGTCACCCACTTTGAGTCGCATTCCCCAATTTAGAACAGGAATGGCAGTCATATAAAGGAAATGTTAACGAACCCCTCTATTATTTTTTAGTTTAGTTGAAGCGGAGTGGAAAAATTGTGATCTTTGTGGAATCAAATAATCAGAAAGGTGAAACTGTTGTGTCCAAGGAAGTACTTTAGAGCACACCATTGCACAATAAAAATTTGTAGACTGTGATAAGATATAAAACAAAAATCCCGTTCTCAGATCAGGCTAGCTTTAGCTAGTTATATGTATAAAAAAGTTAATGAACCCATCTTTATTATTTTTTAATTTGGTTAAGACCCATTTCATAAAAGCACCAGATTGACTTTTTCTAGTTGGTTAAAAATAAATAATACATCGTTGATTTTCGCCAGCATCTGACGCCATTGAAGTATATATTAACGTTCTTAACTATTTGTACTCTATATAATGTCGTCTGTATGGAAAAATGCAAAGTGTGAATTTAATATTTTATGATGAGGGCGTGAGCCAGTTGAAATGTTAACGTAGGCCGCATTTGGTCCGCGGGCCGGACTTTGGACATCCCTGCCGTAGACCCTTACATGGCCTAGGGAGTTAAGGTAAAGGCTGTGTAACGGAAAGGAATTAAGCCGGCACGCTCTTCATGGATAAACGGTGCTACAGGTTGTCACGATCAACAGATTAGAAGGAGGCTTACAAGTCAAGGAAAGCCCCAAAGTCGGTCGTCTGTATGTGTCGCTGCTCTAAAAGTTAGCGTAGTAAATATGCGGTCGATGCAACCACGACCAGAGCGGAAGCCAGTCTGGCTTTCAGTGATTCGGTTCTTACGGGAACCAGTAAGTCGTCGAAGAATGATACCTGTCAGAAGTTTGGATGCAAGGGGAACGAGACTAATGCGTCGATGATTTTCGCACAACTACCCTGAGGCTTCTTGAAGATAGGCACGACAATTGACAGTCGCCAGCCTGTAGGCATCTTTATCGTGTTCTAAATCGCGTTAAATAGAGAAGCGAGTAGAGTCAATAGTCGCCACCATCTTTTAGCAAAAATGGAGGGTGGTCATCGAGTTCAGGAGTTTTGCTTCGATTCAACACAGAAAGCTCATGTCGAATCTCTTCCAAAATCGGAGATGTGGCATTCAGTTCCCACGTCGGTTCAGGTGATTCGGCAAGCGGCAGTGTCGTAGCAAGTATACTGAACTGCTCTACAAAATGTTCGCACAACGGGCTAGTCGACGAGGTTGATAACGAAATCAGCTGTCCAACTTTCTCGGGTATTGTCTCACTAACTGTTGACTTTCTCAGACCCGTGTTCCGGATGAGCTGGAATAACTAGGCTATACCAAATAGCACTGGCTTTCTCCATCCACTAATGTTCCCGGTCGATTCAAACACTCCATGTTAGACGTCGTTTCAGTGAGTTACGGACACGCTGATGACAATAAGTAAATCTGTGTCTACATCATTGAGAAATTCAGTGGGCGCGGTGTGAATGTTTGTGTTGGAAAGCAGTGCTGCTAAGATAAAGGTGGTGATCGGCGCACAGTTGCCGGAATCGATCACCATTGACTGTTCGGCGTGCATCGACCCCGAAGTGGCCGCCCACGTGTTGTACAGAGTCTGCAAGAGGGCTTAGTTGGGCATTTAAGACACCAACAACAATCAAGACGTCAGTATACTTCGACGACCGAGGAAGAGAATAGAGGTGTTGATAGAAATCGTCTTTGATACCCTCTGAACTGTATTCAGTAGGGGGCAAAAATTAAGGAGATGAAAAGGCACCTTGTCTTTAGACGCTGCTTATTAACTCCAATAGAGGTTCGAAATCGAACCGCACACATGTGGCTGTTCACCGGTATCCAGTCGAGTAGACTGCCCTCAGCATGTTTGTTGAGGGTAATACCAACACTTTAAATACCTTCAGCCATTTCTACTTGCTCTATAATACAGTATTCAGTATCGCCAGAGACGCGAAGAGTGCACCCATCGTTGTCAGATTCAGAACCAGGGAGTTGAATAGTTGTTGCAAGGTTTTTATCTTGCATGTGTGTTTGGGAGGCACAATACACATCAATAACAACAGAGTGAAGAGTGAGAATCAGCACTACCTGCCGACCGATCTGGCCAAAAGTGTGGATGCTAGAACAACAAATGTGAAATGAAACTCTAGGTTGATGGAAGAGTTACATGTATTGATGGCAGCAGTTGGGAGGTGAGCGACAGTCTCTTGTTCAGTAGAGGAAGAATTTGGAGTATTGCCGACGTGATCGAGTGGGCAGATAATACTCTTCGGCTGCCCATTCCGAGAGGGGTTTCGTTCAAAGTGCTCTGTCCCTTGCCTTCGGCTCAACAGTCTGACTCCCAAACCAGTGAGGGATATGGAGGCTCGCCTAAGGGACTCCACCCAGAGAGTTTGGCTCAATAGGCTGACCCACAAGGCAGTAGGAAGCAAGTCCAACGCTAGAATGTGACTGCAGAGACCCATTGGGATCTGCTTCAGGCCTGTTACATATAGACTTTGAAAATTTGGAACAATTCACATGTTACGTACCTGCGACCACGGCCAGCAGCAGGTGGGAGTTGGCGAGTTTGCACCAATATGATCAGAAGATGCTTGGTTTGAGGCAAGTGGTAGCGAACCATGGAGCACCGAAAAATGTTCTCCCACCGTCAGAGACAATGTGTGGCACTCGTGCTCTACGTAGATCGAGGTGTGAGCTTATAAGCCGCAGACCTGTTGTCTCCCATAGCTAGGTTTTAAAGGAAGAGGACCACAGCCCTTTCCCTAACCTCCGAATAGGATTAAATGGTGAGAATGAGTTAGTCTGACCCCTAATCATTGACCTGTCTGGTATGATTGACTCCGGAGGCAGTTGGAAAGTGGCATCCAGTATGGCTCAATGGGTCACGAGGCACGCAAACCATCGAACCACGCTAAGGTCTAGTCCCGTTGCGATGGGAAGTTAAGAATCATTCGATCATACATCGTCAAAAACAGAATACTAATGTATTCAAGAGATCGGTGTGCGACAATATTCCACCAGATACCTCGTGCATACAGCACAGCGGTGACAGTTTTTTTGCCTGCGAGCGGCTCAGATGGTAATTTGACGAGATAAGAAAGCGTTCTAAGAAAGTAAAGAAATAACAATAGCGAGCGGACACTGAGCAAAGTTGAAAACAGAGAAACGAAAGCATTCCCCAGTCGTACAAGTTAATGGTGCTGATGGAAATAGCGATGATGCATAGTCGTGAAATGGATTCTGGATGTTATGACACTTAAAACCGTGCGAATGACTGTATAGAACCACAGCGGAACATGTAGACCAAAGAATCGCTCACGTCTTCATATGCGCGATATTTGTAGGGGTCCATTTCGAACACGGAGTAAGTACCCGATGATAGATTATCCCTCAACGGTTGTAGTGGTTCCTTGAAAATGGAGAACGATAACAGAGACTGTCGGATTGGGCACAGAAAAGCAAAGTTTAACCAAATTCATCGTAATCACGAATGAGAGGAACTCATGTGAACCCCTAGCGTAATTTCTTAACTGGATGAGGAAGCGGTGGAGTCTTTGAGGCAAAATAGCACCAGAAGGCCATAGCGGTGTAAGAATGGTTAATCAGAAAGGTCACCAGGAGGAAATGAAAGCATGAATTTCGAACAGCTAATGGGGACGATCAGCGTTAACTGTACAGTCGACCTGGGGGTTCGCGCGAATCGAAAGATGATACAGACAAAGGATGGCCTGTGCGATAAGCAGCGGAGGTGTAAAGCACCCTGCGGTTAACATCAAGAGACTAAGTATGCATACAGCGATTAAGTAAAAAGTGTTGTGTCCAATTTGTTCTCTAAGAGGATATTGCAATGGGAGAAGTAACATGAAATATCCATGAACTCAGTGTGTGGGGATTTGATCGGAGAAGATAACCGAGATGAGCATGTCTTTAATCGGCAAAACCTTCTCAGTTCCAACGATAAGATCATAATCTGGGTACTGGAGAGGCGGCTTGGCGATGTAGTTCACGCGAAATTTGATGAAGTGGCAACCGATCCGATACTAACCCGACGAATACCAGGGCACTGTCAATGTTGTTGGCGGTAGAATAATGTATCGCAATGGTGAAAACGCATTGCCTTTAAAGTAGCCACACTCCAACGACCGTCAAATGCAAGTATACCCTGTACGATGCTATGTGACTGAGCAACCAGCAAGCATCAAATCCGCAGGATTCCGCTATTCACAAATGAACGTGTGCCTCCGTTGTGTTCAAAGAATATGGATTATTGTGGCCTTGGTTGCCATAATGTAGATGCACCTAATGATGTATGCACCACATGGCGGGAGTACGAACCGGTGCCGAAACAATCGAGGTTAACAACCCGAATGTTGCCAATGGTTTTATTTCATTGAGTACATGCTGGATGTCAGGTATCATTAAATCTAAGGTTGGTGTTTATGGTGACAAATTTATTGGAAGACGACTGTAGCGGCAGAACACTACACGAGACCCGTGTAGAACAGAAACCTAAAGATATTCCCAACTGTTGATAGGCGGAGAATTTAACGAATGACGGGTTTGACTTAGTGGGAAGACAAGAATATGACAACGATGACGAGTGCACACGTGATACCGACAGCGGGTTGAATACAGCTTCCATGAGTGCTGGTATATGACAGACAGAACAGGGAATTGGAGAATCCGTGAATACGACATTCTTGTTTTCCGTACCGTCGCAATGTTCGCATTGTTGGAGTTCATATGATAGATCAAATAGCCGTATGGGATGTGTATACAAACAAACCCACGATAAGTTGCCAGCAGAAGCATCAACAATAGCAAAGCAAAGCAAGTGATATGGAAGCAAGCAAGCGGTGGGAAGTTGGAGCACCGGGTTCCGAGACAAGTCGTTAGGGCCGAAAGCGCAAAATGAATGGCTTTGACCCATCGGCCACACTAGCAATCCAGCTTATTCGGAATATGGGTTGGGAGGGAGTAAGATACCTACCTGAAGCTGATCCTCTAGTCCTCTCGATTGTTGTTCATACAATTCCAATGCACCGCGATTCTTCCACAGCCAATTAAGGTACTGCTGATATGCAGCATAGCCAACATCATGTCGACAAGATCCAGTGACAAGAAGTTGAACCTTAAGCTAAAATGAAAGAACCAGTCCAGATACACCTCATGTGTATAGTAAAAGAAAGAACAGCAAACAAATCAACATAATCACTGGGGTAGATAATGAACCAGAAGCAAATAAGGCAAGACACGGTCGGGTGGACTTTGAGACATACGGAGAATTAAACACCGGGTGGGAATTTCCGCGTATCAGAAAATTGGTTCAACTATGTCGAGAAGGTTACCAGAGATCAGCGTGCGCAAGATCAAGCAGTAAATGGAGATACAGAAATTTACAACAGATTGAAAAAGCACTACATTCACCGGAGAAAAGGAGAATGGCTAATATGAGGGATTCACAATGGCGTGTTGTGACTAGTGTTGCGGTATGGAATACGCATGGCAGATGAGGGATGAAAAAGGCAAGAGACTGGTAGTCACTGACCGCAGGTATTTGCGGAAGACAACTCAACTCTGGTGGCAGTATTGAATTGGTAACAGACGATCCCGATAGCTGGTATGAAGCGACACAAGGCTTAGAATTGCAATAGCGGCTGGTCAACTGTCGTTGCCTACGTTGATCGGATTATGCTCTTACAGTGCCTGTCGACTAATGCCCTCTAGGTGTATTATTTGGTGATGCTTCGCGAAGATGGGAGAGGTACGAAAAGTGTACGCAGCACACCGACATAGCATGTAAACACTAAACTGTTATCACCGGTCACGCATGCGTTGAGTACACCGCGAAGTCGTCTGCAGATATGTAGGTTCGAGCTTGTAATCTCCGGATTGCAAGGTTGAGTTTCGTGCTGTTTACCTGAGTCCAGATGGCCTAAAACGCGAGAGAAGTTGCCGACCACCGTTGATCCATTCAGTTTGCTATGTTGCGTTTCACCCAGCCCAGCTTGTGCATGGCTGGAGCCACCAGAAATCAAGGCTATGTTTAAGGTATGGATGATGTCAAGTTAGCAGCGAAATGCAATCGCTTATGAGGCGAGATAGTAAAAGCCATTGGGAAGCTGTATCAATGATGCCATTTCATCTGCACAAGACGGTCAATTGCTTGCGCATGCACTGTTTGTAAAAGCCCATTTGGGTTAAGATCAAAGATGATAAAAAGTGAATAAAAAGGAAAAGGAATATGTTCGTCTGTTGGTTTTAACCATAAGATGCTGACAAATTGGGAGCATCTTGACACCGGTTGTTTGTTTATTGGGCTTAAGCTCTACGCTGATAATCCCTTCAGCTCTAGTATGAAGCGCTGTAAGTAATAATGTGTCAGCTGTAGGCCGTAACGGCGCTTCGTCCCCGCGCGACCACCACCAGTCGCAAGCAGGCTGAGTATACCGCGAGGACACTCACCCCAACGCGGATTCGAACCGGTGACCTTATGGTTGCAAACCAAACGCGCAGACCACTCGGCCACTGGCCGACAAGCGCTGTAAGTCCTTCCTCCATGTTGACTTAACTCTATGCAGCAGCGGATCACTAACACAAAGTAGCGGTGTTCTGCTATACATGATTACGACCATCCTTAGGCGATAACAGCACTGACGATATTGGCGAATGTGGCAGAGACCCGTGTGGCCTTGTAGATACGATAGAGGTGTGGTATACGACGCGTGAGGCCACTGTTACAGCGTGGATGAAGGACAAAATCGCCGAGTATATGAAATATTAACAAACTATCCGTGTTCGAGTATCGATATCTGTGAAATATTACTCGCAACAGAGTTGCGAGAGCTGAATGGATCTGACAGTTGGCGCTTGGCAACAGACGTTCAAGTCATCACCAGATTAATGTTACATTCGAAACACAAAAGCCAGGTTGGATAATTGACATTTATCCACATTTATCCACTGCTGCACATAATTGGGTGATACGCAGTGACCAGCCGATGAAGGGTAAAGATGGCGCCAAAAATACGACTAGGGAGGAATCTGATGCTTATTGCAATAATGGATCTAGGCATATTACTGAGTAAGCGACGTTTCTAAGTGTTTCATTGATAGTAGAAACTGCATAAGCTTGCCATGCGCTCTCATGGTTGATTCTGAACGACACTCCATGACACATCCCTGACTAGCCAAATTGAGGCGCTGCAAATCCAACGTTGCACCTATGAAATAATCAAGGACGATTCCTATGAAACAACAACAGAATGACTCGTGTGTGTCGATCTATCGGATGGTGTAACAGCATCAGCCACATATATCAATAGGAACAGAAGATGACAAAGTGAAGTCATGAAGTCAGTGGTGATCAAACAATCTGCCCATCGTATCAGCCACTTAAATATTTCATACGATTACAGGGTTGTATCACTTGTTTAGTCCCATTGGTGTCAGTCGCTCATATACGTCTTATCTTGGCACCGGTCAGTGGTATAAAGGGACAAGTCGTTTGTCTTGCAATTCGGAGGTCGGAAATTCGAGCCTGCGTAAGGTACCCACCGAGAACCAGGTCATGCAAAGAATTCACGTCGCCGAAGACGGTGTGCTGGGAGCCTGACGCGTGAAATAATGGTGGATTCTGAGCGGTTCACTTGCTTTTCCTGCACCATAAACAAAACGTCAAGCACGCTCATTACTCACGCCGTGCTCCCACCAAGTGTGAGTCAAGCTGCCCACTAAGACTGGTAGCTTGAACATGCGCTCTTTGTCACACATCAGCCACCAGACTGCACTTGCCCGGGCCGGTAGCCTTAAGGATCCCAAGCCTGCCTTGTAATCCAAGGGCGCAATATCCTTAGCCCACGTGCGACTGATGGTGTTTACGCGGCAGCGAAGTGTCGGTACTGCGTACCGGCGTACTGCTGATGTCTTTTCTCTTTCTGCCCGAACAATGGAGACCCTATCAGTCGATATCTACCGCTTCCCGAAAATCCGCCTGCAATGCACGAGCTCCGTTCTTAACCTGCCATGGCCTCCGTGTTACGCTGATTGCAATTTTGCTTTGCATCTACTCTCAGGTTACGCAACTTCGAATGTCAGTCAAACCGGTGTGGGCATTAATCGAAGGCTCCAGGCTGAATCTGCCCTAATCTGCTGGATCCCAATCAGTAGCTGGATGTGCTCCATTAGAGTGACTAGCTCATTTAAAGCTTCGAAGTGGCAATGGTATTGCTGCATACACCCCAACGAATTGCAACGCTGACTCGGCGAAAGATGACTTCCACCATCAATTGAATGCGCTTTTTCGTCACAGTAGAAGTACGGATACTGTAGTGCTGATTGAGGATCTGAACGCTCAAACTGGAATACTGTCCGGCGATGAGCATCATCTGGGCGGACAACACGATGTAGGCTCCCGTAATGATAGGGATGAGCAGGTGTTACATCTGCGTGAAGAGGATCCTCTATTATTCGCGAGCACTTACCTCTGACACGGCATCCGCATAAGGGTGACATGGCGCCCACCAGCCTCGGACGCAAATTTATCACATTACGGTCACTTACTGTTGGAGGTGTGTTGGAAACTACCGCTAGCTTTGGAGCCCTAGCGCGGACCGACCACGTAATTGTATGCGTTGGTCTGCGGATGCAACTCGGCGGACGTCCGCAGCGGCGCTGTGAGCGCATAGATATTTTGCAAATGGCCAAGGTAGATGTTCTGATGCCTATCAATGTACGCTGGCATCTAGGCAGAGTAAATGCTCACTGAACATAGTTGAAGATCACTGGTCGCATATCCACAAAACGTCATTAGTAGAAGACATGCCTTCATGTGGCAAATCAAATTGCAAACCAGAACATTGAGTTTTTACGCAGTCTCGGGGACTTCTAGATGCGCGCCGACGTGTTCCGATTGGAGCCGAGGACGATGAGATTTGTGAAGACCACGGGGCAAAATTGCGTGCTAGCTTGAATAAAACGGGAAGCCTGGTGGTCTCATCGTGTATCGGAGATGGGAACAGTCGCTGTCCTTGGTAACCACCGTGAGTTATTCCGTCTGATACGGGGAATGGGCGGCAAGAGACCTGGCATTAGTGAGACCATACGCAACGAGAGTGGACAACCGATCCACAGCTTGTCAAAGCACTTAGAACGTAGGGCCGAACACTCTGAGAATCACTTTAATCGGTCATAGTTGCCAGCTCCTCTATCAGCTATTGATCGCTTTCTCTCCTGGGCCGTCCGCTTGAATCCGCTGTCACGCACAGAAGGCGAACGTGAGATCAGACAGTTAAAATTGAACAAGACTGCAGAGCAGATGGAGTTCCAGCAGCCCTCTGCAAATTCGAAAGACCAACTCCCGTAGGTGATTTGCAAGCAAACCATCACACCATATCCAAACGTCTCGTCGTGAAGAGAAACAGGTAGAACTGTCTGTTAACAGCACGGTTTGACTTCGCACCTTAGTGAATGACGACACGGAGGGGTACAGTGAGCCGAACGATGCAACCGGCAGTCCGCAGCTACCACCAAAGGCATTTCAAGCCAGGATTCATGATATTCTTCAAAACAGTGCTAAGGTTTTGTATTGGGTAGTAATTCACTCAAGTCTCCACAGACATTGATTTTACTGATTGAAGAGACCTAAGGGCCGCAGCGCCGGGACATCTGTAAAAAACGTTATCATCGGATTTATCAATAGCACTTCTATGACAGACGACTGTCCACTACAATCTTAAGATATCAGTTGCTTTTAGATCTGCGCTCATCGGTGTCTATGGATTATCTGACACCGACAACGAGGTGCGCAAGTGAGTTTTGGGCAACTAGGGTAACGTTATTTCGTTAGCCAGACCAATGACTGAATAATTTTCGTTGGTTCGAGGACGTGTCATACATGATCATTCGCCACTTGACAAGAGGAGATTCATTTTTGTTTATGCAATTCCAGACTGGCTGTCAACCGTTTCAGGGTATACTTTGCATCCTCAAAGTGTAATGCTTACCTCCAAGATTGGCAGGGACTGCCTAATGCGCTGACGCTTGGTGAGGATCAGCTAGAGGTCACTCAAAAGTTCAACTACCTAGGTAGTTGTCAGCACCGGTGGAATTGTATATGAGATCATAAACCTTACAGCAAAAACTCGAGGCGCTTTTGCTAACCTTCGCCACCTGTAGCACCGGCGCGGCATCACTCTCGCCCTGAAGTGCAGTGCAGCCGTCCATTCAACCCTCATGTACGATTTCGAAACCTGACCCATCAAGTCGACAGACACAAAGAGGCTAGTAACGTTCGGTCACCACTGCCTTCGCCCACGCCTGGTGGGGGCACCATGTGAGCAATGAGTGTGGTAGGCGAAGTGTATATGGAGTAGAAAGAGCAAGTGAACCGCTCAGCCCTGTTATTTCACGAACCAGGCTCCCATGGCTGAGCCACATATTGCGCACGCCAACACACCGACTCCCGCGACGTGCGTTGTTTGAGTACATGGAGTGTAGATGGAAGAAGAGGAGAGAGGAGGCCAAGTGATGCATTGGTCGAGAAGAATGAAGTCCACTTCAAACTTGGCGTCCGTTGGTCTCTATCGACCGCTGGGATAGCGATCGAAGGATGAAGAAAACGTCTGGTTGGATACTCTAGCTGATATGGCAAGTAGACGACCCCAATGGCGTTTGTGTTGTGAGTTTCTTGTTCCTACCCCGTCCCACTTATCTCCCCCACAGCCACGATCTAGCTTGGAGCATAAGATATCACTGAGCAGTGTGTTACCTGCATTTTTGCAGTATGTAATGTGTAGTATCTCACTTTTTCGTATATCTTATTTTTGTATGGTGACACAATAGTTGAAGTGTGTTTCGCACCTTCGGCTAATGCGTAATGATGACAAGACAATCTTCTGACCGACTCCCATCTTCATATTTCGATTCCATTTCTCGTATTTTCCCACACAATTGGTATTATTCTTTTCTATCAAATGATTTTCCTTACTCCTTGCCGTAAGGTAAGAAGCAATAGAATGCTATTTCTCTCTCTATCTTGTTTACTTCACGTAACTGGCACAGTAAGGACTGCTAGTGACCACCGGTGCCTTGGTAGTTTGGCTCATATCTGTTGATAATACGGTGTGAGCAATGAGCGTGTTCGACGCCTTGTTTGTGGCGCAAGGAGAAGCGAACCGCACAGCACCGTTATTTCACACACCAGGCTCCGATGGCTAGGCCATGTGTTGCGCATCCCATCCCACCGACTCCCGCAACCTGCACTGTTTGCGCGCCAAGGATGCGAATGGAAGAGGAGAATGGGTGGTAAAGCGATGACTTGGTAAAGAGGAAGGAAGGCCCCTACTTCGAAGTTGGCCTCGGTTGGAGACTCGGCTTCGTGGTTGGGGACCGAAGGACGATGAACATGTTTGGTTGGATACACTTGTTGAAATGGCTAGGAGCCGACCTCAATGGCGTTGTGTTGCGTTACTTTGCCCCTTCCCCTCGTTTAGCCTCCCCCTCCAGGCACGATCTCATTTATTAGGCATAATATAACTCCATTTTTGCAGCACATTAGCCGGGTGTTAGCTCTCCGTAACGATGGCTATCCATTACTGATGACTCAGCCGGCGTGCCTGTTTAATGCATACTTTCCTTTTGTATTGCGGCACAGCTGTTTTCCACCTGCAGCTAACGTGTATAATAATGATGATGATGAGGGACTGGTAGTGCAGGGAACGAGCGGTCACTGTTTGACCAGGGGGTGATTCGTGTGTTCTGGTTTATAATCATCTAGAACTCGGAGCACCTTATTACATCCTAGACCAACGATTAGCTTAAGAAGGGACACTTACGGGGTTTGCCTACGTTCCAGAGCCAAAGCAAAAAGAGTTCCATATGGTGACAGTAGCGAGATGTCGAGTGAGAATACACGACTTACCCGAGGAAAAAGAATTTTCTGAAGTGTATAAATCGATGGACATCGGCAAAATAACCCAAATCTGAGGTAATATTAAAATAGAAAAATACTTGAATAGGTGTGTACTCCTCACGAACAAAGCGAGTTATTAGCCGTGCCAAATTGACATTGGTCTGACGAACTAGACGGATCGAGACAGCCGCAATGCCTAAATGCGCAGCCCAGCTCAGCTCCTTCTCCAACGCTGTCTCACTAGCAGCACGAAGAACGTGTACATCGGAATCAACGTCAATAGAAGCGGAGATTTTTCCAACAACACAGTTAACAAAGCTTTTTCCTGGGAATTTACAGCAACATAACAAAAGTTACCATCCTTCTGAAAAGCTAAGTCAGATCGCGCAGCTGGAGCGATAGAGAGGTTGTCAGTATGTCTGGCGATCCACTGAGATTTTGGGTGGAACAAATCGACCGATATGAAGGAATATCTTGGAAAATATTATGTCCCAAGCTTTTGAACATACCCGGAAGTGCATGCCGAAGTGTAATAAGAAGCAAGATCGCCGGTGAAAGTGTGCTGTAGTCCCACGGACACCTTCTGAGCCATGCCCTTTGTAGTATGCGTCTTGCCAAGGATTCCGAAGGCTTCCGTATGCAGTGCGTACGTAGGTCGTAATAGACCTGGGGAGCTGCAACGGGAAGCAAATACCTAGTAGGTGCTTTGAGGCACATATCACAACCAAATAGTAAGATACCACACGAAATGAAACGTGAAGAGAAGAGGAAGGATCATACATTCATTCATTATACACGTCAGCTAGAGGTGGGAAACACCTCAGCTACTGTGCCGCAATACACAAATGAAAAAGGAAAATAAATACAACAGTTGCATGCCAGCCGACCTACCAGCAACCGATAGGCATCGTTCCGGTAAGCTAAAAGCCGGCTACTAGGCAAAAAGAAAAATTATCATGTTTTACGCTATGAAATGAGATCGCAGGTGGTGGGGGATGGTAAAAGGGATGGGGAGAGATAAAGAAACTCACAGCAGGAATGCCACTGAGGTCGGCTCCATGCCATGTCATCAAGCGTATGCAACCAAACATGTCCCCCGTCTTTTGGACCCCAACCAGGGTGCCGTGAAGCTCCAACCGAGGCCAGCACAAAAGTGAAGGCCTTCATTCCTCTGGACCAAGTCATCGCTTGGCCGCCCCTCCTCTTCTTCTATCCACAACCCTGGCGAGCAAACAACGCACGGAGTGGAAGTCGGTGGGATGGCATCCGCAACACGTGGCCCAGCCATCGGAGCTCAGTGCTTGAAATGACGGTGCTGAGCGGTTCAGTTCCTTTTTCTGTGCCGTTAACAAGGCATCGAACACGCTCGTTACTCAAGCGCCGTTCCCACCAGATGTGAGCCAAACTGCGAAGGCACCGATGGTCGAAAGTAACTAGCCTCTTCATGTCCGCCGATCTTAGGGGCCAGGTTTTGCAACCGTACAGTAAGGTCGAACGTACCGCTGCATTGTACACCCTACCCTTCAGACCGAGAGTAAAGTCTCGCCACCGCCATAGGTGGCGAAAGGTAGAGCTTTTGCTATCCGGTTTGTGATCTCGTCTTCGATCCCAAGGGCGCTGATACAACTTCCCAGGTAGTTGAATTTCCGAACGACTTCTAGCTGATCCCCAACAAGGGTCAGCGCAGGAGGCGATCCCTGCCAATCTTGGAGGAACGCTTTGCATTTCGATAGTGCAAAGCAAAGTCCAAAGCGGCTGACAGCCAGTGCTAATCTGTCCAGCCCGGTTTGGCACTTCTGGGAGCTGTCACAGATGAGAGCAATGTCGTCTGCATACTCCATGTCAAGAAGCCTTTCTCCTGGGAGTAGTTCCACACCTTCCAAGTCATGTCCTGTAAATGCAATCTCCATGATTTCGTCAATAGCGAAGTTGCAAAGGAAAGGTGACAGCGGGCATCCTTATCTCACACCACTGAAGATACTGAAGGGTGGAGACAGCTTGCCGTAAGCTCTCACTCAGCCCGTGCTACGCGCGTATAATGCTCGGATAATATTTACATATTTCTTGGGCACACCTTTCCTGGGTAGACAATTCCAAAGGGCACACCGATCAAATGAATCGAAGACACCTTTGATGTCGAGGAACACGACTACGGTGGACCGCCAATATGTGTGACGGTGCTCCAACAACTGACGCAAGGTGAAAATGTGGTCGATGCAGCCACGACCCCGACGAAACCCGGCTTGCTCCTCACGAATGTGGCTTTCACGAGCTCCAGTCAGTCTGTGAAGGATTGTGGAGGCGAGTAATTTGGAGGCGATGGAGATCAGACTGATTCCTCTATGGTTGCCGCATTCCGAACGCGAGCCTTCTTTGAAGATGGGAAGAATAACGGAGGGGATACAGTCGGTTGGGACAGTCTCCTGCTCCCACAGTTTCACTAGTAATTCATGTAAAGCATCAACAAGAGCAGAGCCTCCGAATTTGAAGAGGGCTGGAGGAAGATCATCCGGTCTCGCGGCTTTGTTCAACTTCAACAGTCCGATCCCACGTTAGACTTCTGAGCGGGAGGGTGGATCCAAAGGGACAGCCCATGGAGCAGGGCGATCACTGGCAGGCGAAGAATCGAACAATGCTAGCCGATTAAATTGCTTCCAAAATCCTCAGCCCAACGCTCCAAACGTTTTGACAAATTGTGGATAGGCTGTCCACTCTCGTCACGTATAGTTTCACTAACATCAAGTCCGCTGTTGCCCGTTTCCCGTATCAGACGGAATAACTTGCGATGGTTGCCAAGAGCAGCGGCTACTTCCACCTCTGACGCACGATGAGACCACCAAGATTCGCGGTCTCTCTTCAGGCTAGCACGGAGTCTTGCGCGGAGCTCTTTGCAAGTTTCATTGTGTTCGCTTCCAGCCGGGATATGCCGGCGAGCATCGATAAGTTCCGAATACCGCGAAGAGACCCAATATCCATTTTAGCTATTAGACATACCACATGAGGATTTGCCTGCTGCTAGTAAGGTCTGGTAAACATGTGACCAGTGACCATCAATTGTCTCCAGTGAGCGGGGGTACCAGTAGTAGGGTACCTGTCTCGTTGCGACGGTAGTCGGAGTGGATATGACAGGTGTCGCAACTCAGGGACGCATTTGGATCTACGCCGTTGAAGCTTCTTTATCATATCACATTCTAATTTCCTGAGAGGATAGGCAGTTGGTTGCCCGTATTCGAGAATCGGGCGTATATGGAAGCCAAAGAGGAGTCGGAAAAGCTCCGGAGTCAGGAGAGAAAACCTACGTATAGAATGGAACATCCTATAGGCTACGGTAACCGTCTTCTGAGTGTCTTGAATAAAGTTGAGGTCTGATGACACTATCACTCTAAGATCCTTCTCTTGGGTTGCACTTCTGAGCAAGGAATCACCAAGGTGGTAAGTTCCAAATGGGTTAGATGAGCCAACGGGGAGAACAGAGCATTTATCACGATTTACGGGCGACTGTCACTTAATTGACCAATCATGGAGTAGATCGTGCGTGGACTGTAATCGGTCCGCGTCTTCAAGGCTGGATACTTTCATCCACAGGTTTAGGTCGTCAGCGTAGATGAAGCAATCCGTCTGAAGAGTGGATGGTAAGTCGTTGATGAAGATATTGAAAAGTACGGGACCGAGCCCTGTGACAACCCACCGGTCATGAGAACAGGAGCACAAAATGTGTCATTCACCTTCACTTGCATGGAGCGGTCGTTTAGGAAGTCGGAGATTCAAGACAGGAGGTTTCTAGAAATACCGATTCCTTGGAGTTTAAACAGAAGACGTTCATGCGGAACCTTGTAGAAAGCTTTGCTGAAGTCAACAAGCACAACGTAAAGCGTTTACCGGAGTCTAGCGATCTTGCCCAGGTCTCCTTAGCAATGAGCTAGTTCGAGGCGCAGTAGCGTGTTTTTCGGAACCCATGACATTCTGTCCCCCAAGATGATGATTAACAGCCTGTTTTAGGATCCGTTCCATAACTTTACACACTATTGACGGCAAACAGATTGGACGATAATTGGCTGGATCATGTCGACTTACTCCTTTGTAGATGAGTTTGACGATACCCACTTTCCAAGCTGACGGAAGACAGCCAGCTTCTAGTGAGCGATGAAAGACTTGACATATGAGTGAAGCTATGTACTCCGACACAATCCTGAGGACCATCGCAATGAGGCTGGACCTTACCGTGGTGCGATGGTTTGTGTGTCTCAGCGATCCATTGAGCTATGCTGGGTGGTGCTTTTGCACCTTCAGAGTCACTCATACCAGATTGGTCAATGGTTAGAGGCCAGACAAACTCAGCCTCCTGGTCCTCCAGGTTGGGGGTTGGGATGAGGGTGGCACCTTATTCCTTAAAACGGACTCCTTGTAGCCCAACGCCAAACCCGCTGCCTTGCGGACAGGTTTTTGAACCAAAGGCTTTGGTTGAGAACCCTAATCGTTCTCCTGTCTAGGCCTGGGCAACCTGACAGTATCCTACCCACGCAATACAATGAATCCTTCCCCAATCAAATTTCTGATGCTCTGGCCACCGCAGAGGATAATCAACGGTGCCCTATCTGCTGCATAGAGCAGGGTGGATAGGGGTTTGGATGCTACTCCTCAAGCCTTCCCGTCTTCTTATTTCCTCTCTTACACTTTTTCGCTCTTACCGTCCCGTTCCAACTTCACTTTTATCCCTTCAGTTTTCAACCCGCCGATTCTTGGCCCTCCCCCAACATGCCTTACGAGGCATTTCTAATTTCAACTCACATGTGAACGCGGAGCGTCACTCCTCTCCTGTCGACAAGTCCATATCCAATCAAGCGGCCCATTCCAGTTCATCGGCTTCCATTTGGAGCCCACAATCCTCCTTCAGATTGGCATGCTTCAATATAAGCACATTACTACAGATCGGTCAACGGGCAGCACTTGCTCGAACATTGGAGACCCTCTCAATCGACATCTGCTGCTTATCAGAGACCCGCCTGCAAGACTCGAGCTCTGTGCTCATTCTGCGATCCCCTTCAGGTGACACCAGCAGCACTTTCACATTGCGTCCATCCGGTGACGATGCAGCTTCGAGCACCGGCCAAGCTGGTGTTGGCATTGCCCTGAGTCCCCGGGCTGAAGATGCTCTGGTTGATTATATTCCAATCAGTAGCCGGATGTGTGCGCTCTGACTGGCTGGCTCGTTCAAAGCTTCGAATTCGCGGGGGACTAATAGGTGTCTATTCATCATCGCTGCCTACGCACCCACAAACTGTAGTGATGATTCGGTAAAGAACGACTTTTACCGCCAACTGACCCAACTCCTTCGCCGGTGGCCGGTGGCCGAGTGGTCGGCACGTTTGCTTTCCAACCATAAGGTCACCGGTTCGAATCCGCGTAGGGGTGGGCGTCCTCGCGGTATACTCAGCCCGCGCGCGACTAGTGGTGGTCGCGCGGCAGCGAAGCGCCGTTACGGCGTATAAGCTGACACCTTTTCTTTTCCTTCGCCACAGAAGAAACACGGAAACTGTTGTGCTGGCGGGGGATCTGAACGCGCAAGTTGGAAAGTTGTCCACTGATGAAATG